ATAAGGTTTAGATTGGTTGGTTCGCTCACATAGGAGGGTAAGTGTGGGTGCCAGTCGCGGCCCGGATTTGGGTCGTGACACATAAACCATGTGCCTACATGGGATGTGTCCTAATTCTACCTTTGTCAAGTAGAAAACCTTCCACGGTGTGGGGTCTTACGACACCGGCTTCTATACAGAGATAGTTTGGTATTTGTTTCTTAATGTCTACTTTCATTTTGTGGGATGTGAAATCTATTTCTTAGGTAGGTTCTATGATGTGTAGGTAGTAGTGTGGGATGTAATCTTCAAATGGAACGAGTAGGCCTTGAAAATGCTTAAGTGAGTTCCCTTGGTTTTCCAAGACCATTATGTGAAGTCCACTAATAGTATGATTGTAATATTTCAAAAATCCTAAATGAGTCTTAAATCCTAAGATAGGTTCCATGAGGTATAAATACTATTTTAAGACCTAATTTAATGAATATAGGTCATATAGTTGTAGGAGGTATTAGTGTGCCTATACCTTTTTGACGAGCATTAAGGAGTTGGAAATCCATGAAAATTGGTGGAAGGGTACATAATAGGTGTTTATGATGATTTGTGGTTGAAACATCCAGGTAAAACTCCCAAAGGACCAACCAGGGTCCCTTGAGGAGGACCCTAGCATATAGGAGGCAACACTGCCTGAGAGTGTGTAACCACGAGAGGCAAAGAACGGCTCGTGTGTGGATAAACAGGGCGTCGATACCAACCATCGTACAACTATTAGCCAAAAATTTTTATCCCTCTCCTGCACAAGTCAGTGAACGAAACAACGGTTCTGCATCACGGAGGGAGGCCTGGCCGTCGATGGACAAATGGCCTATCAGTCGTTGTCTCACGATGTTCCTGCAATTTTCCTGCACTTTTTAAGTTAGTTCATTTAATTATCTAAGAGGTTAGGTCGTTAAATATTGTTTTGAGTAAGTCTAATAAATTAAATTAAAACCTCATAAAGTCCCTAACCTTCATTAGATTAAACATAACTCACAAGACAAATCCTTTTCCTTCTCTCTTCTTTCTCTCTCTATTTGGAAGACATCATTGAAGGCTATCTAGGTGATGTATTTGGGGGATTAAAAGGGACGATTTCACCATCAAATAGTCATCAAACGTTGAGTATGGGATCTAATTCACCTTTGAGACCTCTTTCTGCAAAGGGTTCCTTCAAGATATTTTCAAAAGTTGGGTTTCCATGTGGGTTCTTCTTAATCTCGAAAATTAGGTTATGAATTGATGTTTATGTTTTCTTATAAATATTAATATATTAACATGCATTCTAAATTAATTGCGGTATATCATAATGATTTTGTATAGTTTGTATATGATGATCCTTAACCCTTTATCCTAGCTTTGATATTCACATGAATTAAGTTGAGATTGGTTCAATTGACTTTGTTTTTTTTAATTTATATTAATTTATGAAGTTACATTAATCATGAACAAATTAGATTGCATTGTAGTCTTTCATGCTGGTTCTTGAGATGATGATCTAGGTTATTAATTGAATTAACCTAAGTGTCTTATCTTAAGCTATGATCTAGTAATTAATTGTTATGTAGTGATTCTCCTAGCCTTGTTATCATGTTGATTATTTAATGATGATGTTGTACCTCTAAATTAGATTGAGTTAAAGGTTTATGGTAAGACATTGATGATGAATTATGAAAGATAATTGGTAAGTCTTATGATATCTATCCTTTACTTCCTATTGTGGTTAAGTCGTGATATTATATTGGATTAAGCCTTGTATTAGGATTGATACGGTTGTAGGATGTCGAATTGAAATGTATTGACTATGTCGTGAGGTTGATTAAGGTGTATGTGTTATAAGGATGGTGACAACTATCAATGTGCCTTATTATGCTAACCTCACTTATATGAATTATAATGAAAGGACTTATACTCATGCAATTCTTATTGAGCTATTTATGACGATGATTATACAAGGGGTAAAACCTATGACCTAAACTAAGCTACTATTGATAATTAAAGGCATAAAGACATTTCAAAAAGGGACTCTAGCTTAGCACCTACTGAAACTAGAGTGAGGAGTGTCCCTTCCCACATCGGGAAGGTAGTAGCACTAAAGTACTCTTGAGATTGGATACTACAATGCATGTTGCAAAAAGATGGTCCCAATAATATCTCTTATTTCTTAACTATGTACCCCCATAGGAATACTAGCTAGTAAATCAACGTAATTGTTATGTTTTATGTTTCTGTACTACCTTGGCAGGTCTCCTTCCTTCAGTGTAGGGTTTTATGACACCGGATCCACACTAGATCATGTGGTCTTTATTGGTAGAGCAAGATGTTCCCAAAAGGTAAAATGAACTAAAGCATTGAACTATAACTAGGATTACCTAAGGGGTCTAGCTTAGTATAGGTAGGGGTATGGAACTCTACCTATGCATTGCAATAGTTAGCCTTGAGGGGGGTCTTAGGATGTTCCTATTTATGTTTATGCTTATAATGATATATGTTATGTATAATATGAATTAACACATTGTTGATTCTATATGTTGATTAGTCCACTTATGAATATGTGTTGGTCTATATTGTTAAATTAAGATTAAAGGTATATTTAAATGCAATGTCATGTGAAGTAAGGTGTTAGTGATGATTGTTGGTGGGTTACTTGATTGAGTAAGATTATGGGGCTTTGCTTGGTCATTGAACTTGTTGACTTGATATGAATTCATGGGTTATTGACTTACTTTGTTATAATGAATTATACTCTTATTCATGCTTATTATTAAATATGAGTTGATGACGGAGTTATTTGTATATGTATTTACTTACATGACATAAATGGTTTACTTAACTATACTTGACGTTGTAGTATTTTGATGAACATTCCTATTACTTAATAAATCTGAAATGTTGATTTGGTATGGTCTTGTTGTATATGCATGAAGGTTCTAAATAAAAAATGCACACTTTTTGAAATGTCCTTTTCTTAGCATGTTTTATAAGTATATGTGCATATGGTCTCATAGTTAGTACAAGTGGCGTACTAACTCCATTTCTTCCTTTTTTCATAACATTTTAGGTTCCGGTCATAGAAGTCTCATTTGAGAAGACTTGAAGAAGACTTGGATATTCTCTACGATCTAAGTGGGTGGTAGGTCCTCACTTTCCGAGGGCGATGTCAACATCTTGTTTATGGAGTTTCTTTACTTTTCTAGGACTCTTATGTTCATTCTATTTTAATTTGAGCACGACTTGTATAACCCTATATGTGGCTTATTTACATTGATATAGGGATAAGCCTAAATTTCTATGATCGTTTAGATGGTATGAGATGAGACAATCTTTAAGACTATGTTCTATCTTATATATAGATATATGTGCAATAAAAGTAGAACGCTATGTAACCTTCCTATACGAAGGGTCTATGTATACTAGATATATATATATATATATATATATTATATGTGTGTAGAAGTCTATGTAAGCCTCCAAGTAGAAGAAATAAAAAAAATTTAAATTTTCCGCTAAATTCGACTTATAAATATGATGATGTAAGCTAAGAGGCTAGTCTTAGTCATAAAAAAGGATGACTATGCCGGTTATGTCCAGGGGTAAACCGGATGTGACAAACTTTGTATCAGAGCATGAGTTTGAATTATCTTAGAGTTTAGGTCTCTCTCAACCACGTCTATGTAATTTTGTGTTCACAATTATGAAGCGCGCTACACTTATGGATGGAAACCTAAATGATGCCTAGGGAACTCTCATTTCTTAGAAATCTTATATCGTGCCATTAGAGTATAATTATGGTGTGCTTTTACATCTTGTCCTATTGTTGTGATTATAGGAATAATGAACACTTGAGAAATGCGGCACAAAGACTTGAAGAGGAAATTGCCAATGCACGAGCTCCTCCCCATGGTGATCCAGTTCCTCCACTTGAAGAAGATGCTAATATTGAACAAGCTCCGGTCAATCATCCTCCTTTAATGGATCAGAATATGAGGGCTGTTATTCTTCAAGTGTCCCAAGCTATGACTACTCAAGAATAAGCCGCCACGGTGCAAGCTCAAGATATGACGGCCCAAAACAACGGGGAGGTTGTACCCGGTCCTCATCAACAAGTTACTACTATGGCTTCTTGTCTAAGGGAGTTCACTAAAATGAACCCTCCTACCTTCTATGGGTCTAAGGTTGAGGAAGAAACCCAAGAATTCATCAATGAAGTCTATAAGATAGTCTTGGATATCGGGTTTTCCGTAAGTGAGAAGGATGATTTTGTCACTTAACAACTCAAGGACGTCGCTCAAGAATGGTTCACGTAATGGAGGGATAGTATGCCACTGCGAGGTGCTCCGGTGAGTTTGGAGATCTTCAAGAAGGCTTTTCTAGATCGGTTCTTTCCTAGGGAGATGAGGGAACCTAAAGTGGTGGAGTTCATTAACCTTCGCCAAGGAGAAATGAGTGTTCATGAATACTATTTGAAATTCACTAAATTTTCTAAATATGTTCCTTCTTTAGTTTCCGATCCTAGATATGAAATGAGCCGCTTTGTCACGGGAGTGCCGGATGATTTGCAAAAGGAGTTTCATTCGGCGATGCTTCACGACAACATGAACATTTCTTATCTTATGGTGAATGCAAAGCATCTGGAAGAGGTAAGGGTTAAGAGCAAGAGAAGAATTGATAAGAGAGGAAGACCGTTCTAAAAGAGGTGCTGCAAAGAATAGGCTTGAGATACAACTCAAGACGAGGTTTAGGAAGCGGGTTTCAAGTCAAGTTCCTTCCAAGATCCCTAAGGCTAGTGGTTATAGGGTATCTAACCCTAAGTTTAAGAAGGGAAAAGGTACTAATTCATTAATCGATAAGCCATCTTATGGAAAGTGTGCCAAGAAGAACAATGGTGATTGCCTTAAGGGGACGGACAATTGGTTTGGTTCTGGTAAAAGAGGGAATAAGGTTAGGGATTGCCCTAACATGATTGGTCAATAAAAGGGTGGTCAAGCACAAGCAAGTGGTTCAAATAAGGCTCCAAAGAAGAACCACTTCCATGCTATCCGCTCTAGGGGTTAGCAACAGACTTTTCCCGACGTGGTGACCGGTATGTAAAAAGTCTTATCTATTGATCTTTATGCCTTATAATTTTTTGCCTCTCTCGTAGACGAAAAATTGATGTTTTCCCCGATATTTTTCATGAACCTTTTATAGTGTCTACCCAGGTGGGCCAGTCGGTTGTTGCAAAAAGAATGTATAGAAATTTTCCTATAATGCTGCCCAATAGAGTTTCTTATGTTTAATTAGTAGAACTCAATATGTCTGATTTTGATGTTATCTTGGGTATGGATTGGTTGCATGCTTTCTTTGCTTCTATTGATTGTCGGACAAGGGTGGTGAACTTTAACCCTCCAAATAACCCTTTGTAGAGTGGAAGGAGAGAAACTCTATTCCTAGAGGTCATATCATCTCTTGTATAAAAGTATGCAAAAATAATCTCTAAGGGTTATCTATACCATTATGTAAGATTCCAAGATCTAAACTGTGAAATTCCTCCTATTGAGTCAGTCCTCGTAGTGAGAGAATTTCTGGAGGTCTTTCCTAATAAAATTCCCTATATCCTTCTAAAGGGTAAATTTATTTTGGTATTGATTTGCTACCAGATACAAATCCTATTTCCATTCCTCCTTATCGGATGGCTCCAGTCAAATTCAAAGTGTTGAACACACAACTCATGAATGTACTAGACAAAGGTAGCATAAGACCTAGTATTTCTCCATGGGGAGCTCCTATATTGTTTGTGAACAAGAAAGATGGGTCATTAAGAATGTGTATTGATTACCGCCAACTCAATAAGGTTACAATCAATAATAAGTATACTCTCCCTTGGATTGACGACTTGTTTGATCAACTTCAAGGGGCAAGTTACTTTTCTAAGATTGAATTGAGGTTGGGATATCACCAACTTAGGGTGAGAGGTGAGGATATACCAAAGATGGGATTCTAGACTATATATGGTCCTTATAAGTTATTAGTAATGTCGTTTTGTCTCACTAATTCTCCAGTGGCATTTATGGACCTAATGAAGAGGGAGTTTCAAAATTATCTAGATTCATTTGTCAGTATCTTCATTGACGACATCATGGTATATTCGAAAATGAGGGTGAGCACATAAACAATTTAAGGTTAGTGTTTCAAGTACTTAAAGAACATCAATTTCTTTCCAAGTATATCAAGTCTGAGTTTTTGTTGAGGTCGGTGACATTTCTTGGTCATATCATTTCTAGTGAGAGATTAAGGTTTATCCAAGGAAAATGGAGGTGGTAAATAATTGGCCTAGACCTTTGGCTCCAACTAATATTAGGAGTTATTTGGGTTTAGCAAGTTATTATCGGAGGTTTGTGGAGGGTTTTACATCCATTGCATCTCCCTTGACTAATTTGACCCAAAAGAGTAAAAATTTTGAATGGTCGGAAGCATGTGATAATTCCAAATGTTCAAAGATAGGCTTACTTCAATTTTAGTGTTGACCTTACCGGAGGGTACGAAGGGTTTTGTTGTGTATTGTGACCCATCCTGAGTGAGTTTGGGGTGTGTGAATATGCAAAATAACAAGGTTATAGCCTATTCTTCTAGGCAACTTAAGGTGGATGCGAGAAACTATCCAACTCATGACCTCAAGTTAGCAGCCATGATTTTTGCCTTAAAAATATGGAGGCATTAATTGTATGGTGTTCATGTTGATGTGAATACCCAAAAAGAATTGAATCTCCGAACAAAGAAGGTGGTTAGAATTGTTGAAATATTATGACATGAGTGTACTTGATCACCTCTGCAAAGCTAATGTTGTTGTGGATGCCCTAATTCATATGACTATGGGTAGTTTATCTCACATAGTTGATGAAAAGAAAGACCTAGTGAAGGATGTTCACAGGTTGGCTAGGTTGCGTGTGCGGTTGGATGATTCTCCGAATGGCGGATTCAAGGTCCATCATATCTGTTAGTCATCATTGGTAATTGAGGGGAGTCCAAAAAATACCTTGATCAACCATTGATGAAGTAGAAAAAATCGGTTATGGATAAGTTAAATGAGTAATTATCCTTGGGAGGGATAGTGTGTTAAAGCACAAAAGGAGATTAGGTCTTCCCAATGTAGATGAGCTGAGGAACCGGATCCTTGAAGAAGCCCATGGGTCCCACTACTCCATTCATCCGAGTTCGGCGAAAATGTACCATGTCCTTAGGAAAGTATATTGGTGGGAAAGTATGAATAGGGACATAGCGGAGTTTGTCTCTAAGTGTCCAAATTTCCAACAAGTAAAAGTTTGACATCAATAGCCGGTTGGATTACTACAAGAATTCCAAGTTCCTACTTTGAAGCGGGAAGAAAACAATATGAATTTTGTAGTGGGTTTACCTCAGGCTGAATAGCAACATGACTCTATATAATTGGTTGTGGATAGGTTGACTAAGTCCGTTCACTTTATTTCCGTCAAGTCTACTTATTAGGCAGAAGATTATGCGAGGATCTTCATAGGTGAGATTGTGTGTCGCCATGGTGTTTTGTTATCCATCATATTGGATCAGGGTGCACAATTCACATCTAGGTTTTATAGGCCATTCCAAAAAGGGTTGGGTACTAAGGTGAAGTTGAGTACCGCTTTTCATCCCCAAACCGATAGTCAAGTAGAAAGTACTATTCAAACCCTTGAGGATATGCTTTGGGATTTTATCATATATTTCAAGGGAAATTTGGATAAGCATTTGCCTTTCGTGGAGTTTTCTTATAATAATAGTTTTCATTAGTCCATTTCCGTGGCTCCCTATCAAGCCTTGTATGATAGGAGATATAAATTTCATATTGTATGGTTTGAAGTTGGAGAGCCTTCGCTTCTTGGTCCCAATTTTGTTTATAAGGCCTTGGAGAAAGTTCATGCCATAAGGAACCGGTTGCAAACGGCCTATAGTCTGCAAAAGTCTTATGCCGATTATAGGAGAAGGAATTTTGAGTTTGAAGAAGGTGATAAGGTGTATTTGAAAATTTCACAAATGAAAGGGGTGGTTAAATTTGGAAAGAAAGGAAATTTGAGTCCTCGTTATGGGTCCCTATGAGATCTTGAAAAAAATTAAAAAGGTTTCCTATGAATTGAAACTTCCTAGTTAATTGGCTTCGGTTCATACGATATTCCATGTTTCCATGTTTAAAAAGTGTATTGGTGATCCGTGAGTCTATTCTTCCTATTGAGTATATTGGTTTCAATGATATCCTCTCTTATGAGAAACTTTCGGTTCAAATTCTTGAAAGGAAACTCATGAAGTTAAGGAATAAAGTTGTGATTTACCTAAGGTATTATGGAATAATCACCTAATTAAGGGTGCAACACGGGTGGCGAAGGACGATATGAAGTCTCGCTAACTTATATATTTGATAACTAAGGTTAGTAATTCTTACTAATAATTACAATAATGACTATTGTTGATGTTTTTTTGCTTTTTAATAAAGTATTGCAAAAGGTGCATTTTTTGTTTTTGTTTTACAGTGATTACAGTGAAGTGAGCATTTGAACTTGAAATTTAGCTATTTGGCTTGTTTTGAGTTATGTCGTGCATTTTGATATAGTAAGTTCTTATGACATGATATATAGCATGTTGTCGGATTGAAATTTGACCTAATTGGCTCATGTATAGTATGTTGAGGTAATGTTGTTGTTGTGAGAAGGATATTCCTCATAATGTAGTGTTGAACCTTATGTTTGGTAATTGATGTTTTGAATTTCCTTTTATAATTAATATTATTGATGTTGTTATGTATACTTTTTGGTTGGTCTACTAGTCTTGAGTCTATTCCTTTCTTTCAAGATGTTTAGTGTCATTCGGGGATGAATGTTCCTAAGGGTGAATAATGTGACTTTTCAAAAATCCAAGACGATTCTAAAATCCTAATATAGGTTCCATGAGGTCTAAACACTGTTTTAAGACCTAATATAATGAATACAGGTCACTTAGGAAGTTTAGGAACCAAAGCATCCAAGAACGTCCATGATATTTGGAAACTAGT